CGGTTACCATAGTTATTGCTTACGGAATCAGCAATTCAAATGTTTAATCTGTTTAGATTATTTACAAATAGAAGTTAGAAAAAATACTGACGCTTTATTAACAAATTTAACAAAAACTTTAGACGAAAACTTACCCAAAGACGATATTGAGGAAAATAAGGACGATGAAGATTTGGATGAAATTCAAGAAATATCTGATGATGTAACAATTGAGCGCCAATTGGAGCAAGCGAAAAAGTCATTTTTTGAAATGTAAAAAAAAAATGTATTAAAAACAAATAAATAAATAAGTCAAAAAATAAATTAAGTTAAAAAATACTTACTACTAAACCCAGTCAATTTTAATTAGTAATGGGCGATTACTTATCGATTATTAATATCAATTACTTATGAGAATCGATAACAAATGTTAATCTCACATTTGCGTCAGTGATAAGGAATTGACCTGAGATATGTATTTCTAACCGTGATATAATAATTACATAATTAAGAATGATAGCTATTATTACTTATTTACCAAAAAACTTAAATTATATTTATTAATATTAAATAATCGTATGTAATCAATTTGACCCATCTCTAATTCTAATGCTTATTCGGGTATTTTAATATAAATTGTAGTCTAAAAATTGATCTACATTTATTACTATTTATGGAAATTGTTGACTCAGGATAGCCAATCATTTTAACTGTCTCTGCTGAAACATTTTGACTGTCCAAAAGCTTTTTTGACACTGTCCAACGTCCAAGTGTCCAAGTGTCCAGTGTCCAAGCTTTAATAATTAATAAATTTGTTTAAAAATATATGATTATATTTACTTAGAAATTAATATAGGTTATCTTAATAAAATTTTGAGTAATTTTAATTTATTTAATTGTTCAAAATTGTCCAAAGTGTCCAAACTTAACTGTCCACAACTGTCCCATGACTATCAGCCAACTATTATCACTTTGTTCGTATGATTTTAGAAAAATTTACCAACTCCGACCCGAAATTACTTAATAAATTCAAGTAAACAAACATCATAATTTATTTGTAAATAAATATCATGGTTCTTCAAAAAGAATTGAAGCATCTCCGAAACAAAATGATATTATATTTAAATTATTGTAGATATATTCATAATTGCGTAATGTTCACTCACACCATACAATATCAAAAAACTGCGCCGAAATTTTTTTTAATTTGTTCCAACTTAAGTTGGATTCAACCCGGAGCGACGCCAGAGTATATCACTCCTTCAATTAAAGATTCGTCTTTTAAATAATGAATTTAGAATTCTTCAAGGGGTGTTGTATGTACTGTACATGGAATAAAATTGAGATTTAAAAATGTTAATATTTTATTAAGATAATTTCTTTCAGCTTTTAACATGTCAAAGTCTGTACTACATAATATGCAATTTTTATTATTGTATATTTATATATTTTATAAATTTTTATAAATTACAGTAACTCTAGTACAAAACCTGATTTATCTTTTCTGATTTATATAATTAATTAAACATCAGACTTCAAACGACTAAAAATTGATTTGCGAAGGTATACAAACAATAAATTATGTTTATTATATGCTGCGTAGTTTCATGGTGAATAATTATGTAATCAATTTAGAGCAATAAAATTTTGATATTGTCGATCGTTATCATGATTAGTGTTGGCGAGGTGCAGACATATTTACGTAATAAGGTCGTAACCATATACGTAAAATTTATTTTTTATAAAAGTTTCTATATATATATAGTTAAGATCTATTACGTATTTTGCGTGTGATTTTCTAAGTACGTACGTACGTAGAACGACCCACATGCTCGAATAGTGAAGTAGGTAATCGCCAATTTACTGCAACTATAGATGACTACGCCAGGGCGTAGGGTCGATTTTACTGACACGTGATAGTCGGAAAACAAATGTTGTTAAGATAAAAACTTGAGGTTAAAGTTAGGAAGAACAATAATGTAGCAAATCGCACAAGGAAATTTTTTTGTTAGGACCCCAAAGATGGTTTACTAGACTAAATTTTGAGATAAATACGATTTTTGCAAAGCGAACGTTTGCCTTGGCGTAGTCGACTTAGCTGAAAAACTTATAACTAAAGGTACAGTATTTATACGAATACCACTCGAATAGTCAGGATGTGATCTAACAAATATCGATCTTAACTTTAAACTTTTAAATATTATATTGATTTTTTAAGGAGTAGGGGTTTATAATTTAATCAGGATATGTATTATTATAATTAAATTTAATTGACTAATATTTGAATTAGCCTCTTAGTAACCGGAAACTATGGGCGCAACATTCAACATAACTGATGGAACATTGACCAGAATTAGAGTTAGAGTTAACGTTGTTTTAGTAATGCCGGTCATTGTTGTACCCATAAGCAGTGATGTAGTAGGCGCAGCGTACATAGATTAAATTTGCGCATATATCAGCGCTCTCCACTTATATAATGCGCGTATAAATTTCTTTTTTGTGCATATTTGTTTTTGCGTTTGCGCCAATAAAAATATTTGAATTTATAACACTGCCCATAAGCACATGAATGTTGTGTCCGTAGCAATTGCCCTTAGTAACTAGGAATCTGCTGATTCTGTTCCTCCCCTTATAATAACCATTGTATATTAAAGCAATGTTTTAAATTTAAACCCAGTGACAAAGCTTCTTTTTAGGAAAACGCTAGGTTTGTGGTGATTTAATAAATTTGCTGATGCACGTACATTATTCGCCAACTTTTGCCTAGAGATTTTCTGAATTATCATAAAAAAAAAAAAAAAAATCGTGCTAAGTTCTATTTTTCTCGATGAAAGTTGATCTTCTTTAAGTTTCGCTTTTCAGATTAGATAATTTAGATTGTCTCAGCTCTACAAGCCATTTTTCGTAAATTTCAATGTTGATGCTTTCAATGAATGCAATTGCTTTTTCACGACATTCTTGACCAATCTTCTCATAAGCTTCACGGTTATTAATCAAGTGTCTTAGAGATTGAATCCATGGCTCAATATTTTGAGGTGGAATTTTATATACACCCGTTTTTTCAATAATACTTTCGTCACTTTCACGTTCACCACAAGTTATGTTTACGTGTATTGTGCCAAAGGTGACACCACATTTCGCTTCGGGTAGACCTCCTGCGTCAGAACAAATCACGGGTATACCGCGTAACATTGCTTCCACGACCACTATTCCAAAAGCTTCATACCTAATGAACACTATATATTAGTATCAGTATTATAATTTACATATGATTAATTTTTTTACACTTACCAAAGGGAAGGTGCAATAAGGACCTTGGTTTTAGGCCATAGTTCCTCCATGTCTCTGAATGTCTCCAAAACTCTATTAAATTAAAAAATATATCATTTATATATTTTTATATTAAGTATCCTTCTAATCACAACAACACCCATATTTACATGATGTTTTCAGTATTTTCCATTTCTTTTAGTTGATATTCACTAACGCCCCAATTTTTAACTGCGGCGAACTGAATGTCTGGCATTTTTTCTGTCAACTCTTTGAAAATAGCATAACCCTTTATGCTAGCAGGATTAGGGATTAAAACGTAAGGCGCATCAAAATTGTGATACTTCTTAAAAGGTGGTTCACCAAAAGTTGTTGGATGTAAAGGAAGGTAAGTAGCGAGAACCCCTTCTCCATAGATTTCGATATAATGTTTAATCGCACGACTAACCGCCCATACACCTTCAATCTTTTTTAACCTCTTATGTTCAATCAGGGACGTTGGGCTATCGAATCCTGGTGCGCCACTATATGGACCGAATGGAAGATGCTCACACGCGTGGCAGATGAATATGCGAGCTATTGTTTCTGATAAATTCGATGCGATCTTGAGTGAAATTGAATCATTGAAGACGAAGTGAGTCGCACCAAATAACATGATTTCATTCGTTATAAAATGTTGGTATGCGTCATATTCGGGTAAGCATTCCTTATCCTAATATTATTATGCCACAAATATTAATTAAATATGTAATACAGTAGATTGTGAAAAGAAAATTTTCACCTTAAACTAGAATGAAGTAACGTATTTTTACCTCTAACCAACGCGTTATTCGTTCTTCGACATATTTGAGCGGATGAAAAAGTGTGCTTTTCGGGAATATCTTGAGATATTCGTCTAGCTCAAGACCCACGATTTCGACATTATTCCAAATGAATCGATAAATAGTAACATGGTTATTTTTATCTCCAAATGAACATTTTTCTTCACTATACTCGACTTTCGCGTCGAGTACGTCTTTTTTCCAGCAAAGCACTACAGATCGACATGCATGACCCTGTGACGATAGAGCGGCCAAAAAACAAAGGTTTGCTTTATAACCACCGGATGCACTATAAAGACCCATCGCCGTTTGGATGAGAAAAATTTTTAATTTGGTAGTAGGAATTGATATTTCTTTTGAAGTTTGTGTTTTAAAGAGCTGTGGAAATGAAGGTGAATGCATATTTTCATTGTTTTGAAAAAAAGTATAATCTCATAGTAAAAATCTATGCGCAATCATCTATTCTTATAAATACCAGAATTCTTTCTTACATAGTAATCCTTATAATTACAATGACATAATTCTGATATATAAAACATATATAATTTATTTTCCGAAGCCTATTCTTACAGTGGTATTTAATTGTTATAATTACATCATTTATCTGTGATTTATCTTATTTATTAAACAGTCAGTTAAAATCCTAACGAGTGTTAAAATATTAATTATCGTATAGATTAATATACATTATCACAAAAACTAGCTGATTAATCGGTGCGAAATGTTCTTCTATGCACCCAAAATCCTTCTAAAACCCTAATTCTAACCCTAATACTAACTAATGTGAAAATTTTTATTAAAACCTTTTGTATACAAAACTTACAAACATTTAGAAAAAATCTAAAAAAAATAATAAACATATAGGTGCCAAATCACCATGGGTGCGTTTTATAATAAATCTTTTCTAGCACGTATAATTAATCGTACTGTTACTATACATTGTTTTTTTAGTTAGATGTACTGTACGTCGTTCTTTCAATCAAACTTTTTTTTTAAATGACTAAAATTATAAAGTTTGACTGTACATAAATCAAAAGTTACCACCCTATTAAATTATAAATGATCTTTTACTCAACGGTCGTTCGGCATTTGGCCGATTCAGTCCATAATTGACCAGAACAAAACCCGAGTTTTTACTACTAACTAGAATTTGGTCAGAATTTTATCACTCTAATGCTAACGTTAAAGAAAAACTATTAATACGTTTAATTACGATTAATTTATGCATTCTTTAGCATCTTATAATTTCTATGAAACTTATTCCCACCAAGAATTTAGACACATGCATGAACGAATAGTATTTGTTTCAAGACTATTTATATTAAGTCACCTTCATCAGAAAAAATCCGTTCTACTGGAACATTAATTGAATAAGCTTGAACCCGAACCGTGTATGTTAAGCTCGGGTTTAAAAATCGCTTTTTTGACCGTTTAAAAACACTACTTATTGTGCTAATTAACTTTTAATATTATAAATTTATGTATATTTCATGCATGATATTCCAGACTTATTAAAACGCGCCTATTGTGTTTTAAACCTATGTTTTACATCTATATGTATTGAATCTGACGATTTGTCAAATTTGGATATCGATTCTGAAATGTTTTGCAGGAAGCTCTCAAGCAATAATTGGCTTAAAATCATGCTTTTTGGTTAAAGTTTTGTTTTTAATTTTTTATATTATTTGGTTATAATTTATATTATACAGTATATGTGGGCTAGGTGCTGAGAAAAGGGACGAAATTGACAATTTTTTTAAAAGATGTTTTTTTGCATAAATCAATTAAGAATAAGATTAAGATCATTTTTCATTTAAGACACAAAAGTAGTTGTATTAATAAAATCTTGCAGTATAGCTCTTTAAAGTTTGTATTTTCTTATGATTTATTATAAGATTTATAACATAAAAATTGATTTTCCGAAGATCTTTATTTTTGTCAATTTCATCCCTTTTCTCAGCACCTAGCCCATATAAAAAATAAAGAATTTGTAATTTTATAATTTATAATTTTTTTTTTTTTACAAAATAGACAAAATAAATAAATTTAAGATTTTAATTAATTAATTATTTAGTTATTTATTTTTAGCTAAATAATTAAGATATTCTTGTAATGTTATATGTTTACAGTCAAACCTCTTTATAATCACATTTTAGTTTTTAAGAGTTTGGTGTTTATAAAAGTTAGTGTTTAATTTTCCTTAGTTTTTAAGAATTTGGTGTTTATAAAAGTTAGTGCTTAATTTTTTTTTAATTAACTAGCCTTTTTGAGACTAAGGTTTTTATTTAAGTATTGTTGAGTAGAGAGTCTATAGCTATTAGCCTCAAGGAAACCCCTTATATTAAAGAGTATATATTTATCAACAAAATTTGTAAGTAGATTAATATTGATTTATAATAGTTAGAATAGATATTAATTGTAATATCCTCTAATGATTTATATCAATTATAATACTAATTGATATGTAACAGCTAAAAATAAATATAGATTGTAATATTCTTAAATGATTTATATTAATATAATACTAATTAATATATAACAGTTATAAGTTTCCTTCAATCTATTCTAACTAATTAGTTATATAATAATTAATAAGCATTTTATAGAAAATAGAGTGTACAATGTTATATTGGACACCTATTTAGTAGTACAAATATAGTTTTAAAATCTTTAAATTTAGAATTTTTTTTTATTTTATTAAAAAAGTTTTAATTATGGTATTTAAAAAATATATATATATACAGTATAATGGTTAATTACAAATAGAATTTAAGATTAAGTATAACTCAATATAATCAAGAAGATTCAAAATATTTATTTTGTCAAAAATTACTTATAGTTCAAAATTAGTATAAGAAATTACCTTTTGTACTCTATTAAAAAGTTAAAACAATTTTATTATATAAATTATTTTTTTTTAGATCCTAACTAGGATTTTTACTATAACCTTAATGAATTTTAAAAATTTTGTTTGCATTATCAACTTTGTATACAAAATTTTTCTTATATATTTTAAAAATCAGGTGGAAATACTAATAATATTATATTATAACTTATTATTAATAATAATATTTTTTATTCTTTTTAATTAAAAAGTAATTAAATTTTATTATAAAATAAAAAATACAAATTATGCAATACAAATCACTAACTCATTATTATAATTATTATCAATATTAATACCAATAGTTAAAAATTTATCTATCTCATTCTGTAAAAGAATCATAGAACCACTATCTTAAGAAATAGATTTAGGCTTAGGTTCAAAAGAAGTTTGTTATAATTTTTATCTTAAAACAGAACTATTATATATTATTAATTGTTACAGATTAAAATGAAATCTGATCAAAATAAACTAGAGACCTCTCATGTTCACCTTTAGAGCTTATAAAACACATATATACTCATTTATTAATAAATCTAACCCTAAACTCTACCTCTAATGCTAAAAAAAACCTCAAAAATGGTACTAAAAATTTTTAAATTTTTCTTAAAAAACAGAAAATTTTCATTTTGATCAGATTTCATTTAATCTGTGATATTAATTATTGTTTTTGCTAAATTATAAAAGAACTATTATTGCTATAATCATTCTATATTTAATTTAAATATTAGTAATTAAAAATAAATAACAATACTGATGAGATATTTCAAAATTTATCTTTTTATATACTCTGGAGAATATATAAACTAGGTGCTGAGAAAAAGAACCAAATTAACAAAAAAAAGATCTTCAAAAAACTAATTTTTATAAACATTATAATAAGATAAAAAAATATAAACTTTAAAGAGCTATATTGTAAATTTTATTAATGGGTATCCGTAGACCAAACATACTAAATTTAGTATGTAAAAAAAAATTATTTCAAATTAAATATAAGATTAGCTTTAACCAAATTTTAGAAAAATAACCTTTAAGGGTTTGGGCCCTATAGCTTAGCAGTTAAGCTGCCAAACTCCCACAGACTAGGTTGATGGTTCAAGTCGGGCTGAAGGCAAAATCTTAGGATTTTAGCTTCTGTAACCCAATAGGGGCTATAATTGAATGCGGAGCCCTGTGGTTAAGTCCAAGTGCAAGTACGAAACCGGAAAAGGAAATTTCCGAAAGGAGGTCCAATCGTGGAGTGGTGGCACTACGTATGATGGGTCATGGAAGGTTCTGTTACACAAAAGGTTGCGCATGTTAGTCCTCAATTAGGGGTGACTGGGACAGCACCAACATCCCTAGCGGTTGGGGTACTTGATTAGGAGAGTGACACGATGGTAACAAAACTAGAGTAGTGAGAA